TGCAAAGAAAGAAAGAAAGAAAGAAAGAAAGAAAGAAAGAAAGAAAGAAAGAAAGAAAGAAAGAAAGAAAGAAAGAAAGAGAAAGCATTTCTTGTGTTTATTCTGTGCTTGGCACTATGCTAAGACAAAAACAAGATGTCCCAGGTGATGGAAAGTGAGACAGGCTAGAAAGCATGGTCTGAAGTCAGCTATATATAGTGGGTAGAGGGGATATCCCTGCTCATAAAACCACAAAGTGAGTCTTCAGCCCAGGAAAGCAAGGGATTTTCTGGAGGAGGAGGTGATGAATGTCTGGGGTAAAGGACAGTTGACAGTGTGTAGATTTGAGGCTTTGCCAATCGTTTCCTCTCCTGCTGCCTGAGGATGGTTTCTATGGAGACAGTGGTTGTCTTGCTAGGGGGCGATGGGGACCAGAGAGCTCTTTGCCCACTTGTGTATGCATTCATGGGGTGAACTTTATGGAACTGGAGCCCCAGAGAGGAGGGAGCTGAGGCATAGGAGCTTAGGGGACTCCAGAGAGAAGAGACCCATGAATCCCAGTGTGGTTGGCTTTTTTAAATCATTCCACCTGGAAAAAAAGGAGGAGTGAGGGTAGGACTTTCTTTTCTCTGGTTAGGGAAGGTAAAGATAGCAGGTAGCAGGGGGAAAGCCAGTCAAATGTCTGAGCATCCTTGACATCCTCACTTGGTGCTAGGCATTGTGAGTGATTATGACTAATGATAATAACGGACATTTTTAGGGCCATTTTAAGATTGTAAAACATTTGACATACATTATCTCATTTGGGGCTTACAGCAACCTTCTGACATAAGATTATCTTTAATCCCATTTTACAGATGATGAAAATGAGACTCAGAGAATTGAAGAGCCTTGACCAGGGTCACAGAATTGGTACATTTAGAGCTGGAAGGGACCTTAGAGGTCATCGAGCCCAACTCCTGATTTCATAAATGTGGAAACTGAGGCCCAGAAAAGTTAAGTGATTTGCCCAAGGCTATTCAGATAGTAATGGAAGGGTCAGAATTTGAATTCACATTCTCAATTTCCTTTGAATCTGGGTCCAATTGACTTTCCACATCTCCATGCCACATCAGAGGCAGGTTTTGAACCTGATTCCAGATCCAGCAATCTCTGTCCAAGTTATAGATCAAAACCAGAAGAAGCCTCACAGTTCATTGAATCCAACACTTTCATTTTATAAATGGGAAAACTGAGGCCAAGACTGGTCAAGTGACTTGCCTATGCTCACAAAGCTAGAGTCAGAGGCAGATTTTGAAGCCAGGTAGGTCTTCCTGGTTCCCAGTCCAGATAGAGGCTAGGTTTGACTGGAACTAGAAGGGTCCTCAGAATCCATGAGTCCAACTCTCTCATTTTCCAGATGAGGAAACTGAGGTTCAGGAATGCCAAGTGGCTTGACCCAATGTTCCAAAGGTAGAATCTGTACCTCAGACTGTAAAGATTGTATTGTTTTCCACTGCCCACTCTACTCACATACATTAATGAATGGCAAACACTGTAGAATGATGATGTTGATGATGATGATGAGAAGTAAGATAGTGTAGTGGGAAGAGCCCTGGACTTAGAACCCAGAGAACATGGATTTGAATCTCAATACTCCCTGTATGACCATGAGAAAATCACTGAACCCTTCAGCATCTGTTTCCTCATCTGTAACATCAGAATAATAGCCTCCCTCCTGGGATTTAAAATGAGGAAAACTGCCTTGTAAGCCTTAAATAACTACAGAAATGTACGCTGTGGTTATTATCCTCCAAAGCCACGATCCGTGCCTTCAGGAATCCTCAGTCTGTCTGGGAAAATGAGACATGCATGCATGGAAGTGAAATGGAGATCACAAGAGCTCTGTCCCAGGACAATCTAGGCAAAGGGTGAATGTGTTTCGAGGAGAGGTTTCCTGGGAGAAGACTTTAGGCCCTATCCATGGTACCAGTTTAAACTGCCTCTTGCTTTCAATAGTCCCCTTTTCTTCCCCTTCGTGGAAGGCAAAGTCAGTTGACAAGTATATATAAAGCACTTTGTATGTTTGGCCTTACCAGCCTGTGTGACCCTAGGCAAGTCACTTCACCCTGTTTGCCTCAGTTTCCTCATCTGTAAAATGAGCTGGAGAAGGAAATGGCAAACCGCTCCAGTATCTCTGCCAAGAAAACCTCAAATGGGGTCATGAAGAGTTGGGCATGACTGAAACAACTGACCAACAACAATAGTGTTAGGCACCATACCATGGAAGACTGTTGGTGTCCACTTACCCTGATTTTCCTGGGATAGCCCTGTTGGTGTTTGGACAGTGGAAAGGGTAAGGAGGGGCACATAAAATCAAATTTTCTTTAGCCTCTGTCTCTTCTTCCTCCTTCAATGGCCCAGACTCTCCTTCATTTTTCTGTTCCAACCTCACTGCTTGACCTTGAGTTGGCTCCCAGATGGGCTTCACACTGCCCATCTGTTGTGTGAGATTCAGATGACAGCTCTCACCCAGTGAGAAGATCTGGCTTAATTAATGTTTGAGGAGGGCTATGTGATCATTGGCTAAAAGCCAGGCTTCTCTCTCTCTCTTTTCCCTTTTCTTTGTCCTGGTCACCTGGGCTGTTTGATAATATTAGATTCTTTCCTGCAGAGGGGAGCTATCACTCAGTGAATTCTAAAGCAGGTGAAGTCACGGGTGTCAGACGCTCCACCAGAGCCCACCAAGGTGTCAGGAGTGGTGGTGGAGGGAGATGGTTACAATCTAAGTGCCTGACTAGCCACTCCAGAGAAGTGCCCTTATGATCCTGAAATATGGGGTGAAGTGCTCCCTCCCCAATGTTACAAGACAGTCACATTCTCAAGAGGCAGCATGAGATTGGCAGGGAGGAGACACAGAAGAAAGAGGAGGCGGGGAGGGAGAGAGACAGAGACAGACAGAGAGAGACTCAGAGACAGAGAGAGGGAGAGAGAGAGACAGAGAAGCACAGAGAGAGATGGCCTGGGAGTCAACCCCACTTAGGTTCAAGTGTCTCTGTGATCCTGGGCAAGTCCCTTAGCCACCAGGCAACTCTCTAAAACTATTAGGTTGCAGAAAAGGTACCACTCTACATTGGTACAGGGAGTTTCCTTATCTGGAATTTCCCTATGCCAAGGAAATGCTCCCTCAGGTTTATTCTCCATCCCAATGCTTTGTGGGAGGCACCAGGGAATTTTTTTTCCCCCTTTTCGGCCCAGACACATGATTTCACTAGCACTGGGAGCTCTAAGTTTGGAAATTCCCTTCATCAATACAGACTTGCAACTCATTGGTGGTTTATAGTCTTGGAAAATTGCCTGGGACACTGAGGAGATTTGCCAGTGGACACACAGCGACTGAGTCACGGGCAAGGCTACCCTTTATGCAGTATGCAGGCACACCCTAAGAACCAGAAATAGAGAGATGAAAGTGAAAAAAAAAACTCTTGGGGTAGCTAGGTGGTGCAGTGGATAGAGCACCAGCCCTGAAGTCAGGAGGACCTGAATTCAAATCCAGCCTCAGACCAAACACTTGACACTTACTAGCTGTGTGACCCTGGGCAAGTCACTTAACCTCAATTGCCTAAAAAGAAAAAAGAAAAAAAGAAAAAAAATCTCCATCCCCAAGGAACTTAAATTCTCTTCAATAGAAAGAACACCAACCTGGGAATCAAGGGCCCCAGCTTCAGACCTTGCCTCTGAAAAATTACCTATGTGATCTTAGACAAGTCACTTTCCTCTTCTGTAAAAGGAGAGGTGGGCTAGATGGGTTCTGAAGTCTCTTCCAGCTCTAGATGGATGGTCCTATGAGCCTTTGTTGTATGGCCTCTCTGGGCCTCACTTTCCCCATCTGTAAAATGAGAGATGGACTAGATGTGTTCTGAAGTCTCTTCTACCTCTAGATTTGAGTCCCATTGACCTGTGATTCCACTGGGAGGGTAAGACGTGTACATCAATTGATCAACCGAGAAGCACTTATTAAGCATCTACTGTGTGCCAAGTACTGTGCTGAGCCCTGAGGAGATGAAAGAAACAGCAAAAACAGTCCCGCTCTCAGGGAACTCATGTTCTAACGGGGGAGAAAGCACATTGTAAATGGGTACATTCAATATACATACCTAGTAGATGGAAGATCACCTTGGAGGGACGGCACTACCAGCAGGGGGACCCGGAAGGCCACCTGTAGAAGATGGTGCTTGAGCTGAGTCTTAAAGGAATCGAGTGATTCTAAGAGGCAGGAATGAGGAGAGAGAGCATTCCAGGCATGGGGTACAGGCTATCCAAAGGCGGAGAGCTGGGAGATGGAGCCTTGTGTGGGAAGAGTGGCAAATAAGGCAGTCTGAAAAGGCAGAAAGGTTGTGAAGAGCATTGTGTGCTAAACAGAGGAATTTCTATTTGATCCTGGAGGTAATAGGGAGCCACTGGAGTTTATGGAGGAGGGAGAGCTCATATAATCAGACCTGGTGACTTTGGTAGCTATGTAGAGGATGGATTGGAGTGAGGAAAGAAAGGTATGGTATGATGGGAGCATAGGAATGATATAGACAGGTGCTCCAGGAAAATAGGAGAAAAGAAAGACCCCTTTTAACTATAAGGCTCAGGGACGTCTTCGTGGAGGAGATGGCACCTTAAAAGAGCCCCAAAGAGAAGGACTTTTGACTGGTGGAGATGAAGGAGCACGTATAAGTTTTGGCAGGGCAGCTTGTGCATTTCAGAGCCTGGAGGCATCTTGAGGCGATCAACATGCCCCATCTCCCTATTCTGGGGCGACTCCTTAAGGGAGAAAGCTAGCAGAACCCCCGGGGCAGATTCTGCTCGGCAGCAGTGGGATCCAGGCTGCAGGGCCCTGAGTCCTGGGACAAAGATAGGGCTGGCCTACCGGGGGGAAGAGAGGACAGCGTGGACTAGGGGCATCTCAGCAATTGGGCAGTAATCTGAGGGGTGACCCTGAGGCACTGCTGTCCCCCTGCTGCTGGAAACTCAGCCCCTTGCAATCAGTTGGAAGAAAAAAGCCATCTAAAAAAAATCAGTTGACATGGTAGCAGGTTGCCTTGCACATGGTTTTTGGTATGGCTTAGGGTTTATCTTTTATCTGTTTTTAATGGGGTGGGAATGAAAAACCAGGTGGAATCTTTAGGCCTAGATGGGATTCCAGCCCCGTCACTGTAGCCCTCCAATCACCTGGGTGCTGGCTCCTTTTATTCTGCTCCCACTGCCTCTCTTTGTCTTATACATATGCAGAATGAGGGGGTTGGACCAAACGAGCCCCGAGGTCACTTCCGGTTCTAGAGTGGTAATCCTGTGATCCTATTCCTCACCTCCTTGTGACTCATTTTCCCTATGTGTAAAATGAGGGGGCTGGACCAGATTGCTTCCAAGGTCCCTTCCAGTTCTAGAGTGGTAATCCTGTGATTATATGTCCCTTTACCTCCTTGGGCCTCAGTTTCCCTATCTGTAAAAAGAGGGGACTGGAGCAGATTGCTTTTGAGGTCCCTATTAGCTCTAGAGAGGTAATGCTGTGATTCTATGCCCCTTCACCTCCTTGGGCCTCAGTTTCCCTATCTGTAAAAGAGGGGGCTGAGCCAGATTGCTTCCGAGGCCCCTAACAGCACTATGACCCTATGATCGCATATGAATTCTTGTGGCTGAGGATTCTACCCTAGGGCCTGAGAGACTTGGGCATAGCCTCCACGAGCTCGGGCAGGAAAACTTTGGCGCTTTGGATCCAGAGAGGGGCAATATATGTAACTAAACGGCCTCTGGGGTCCTTTCCAGTTCCAAATCTATGCCCCTATGTTTGAAGTGTGGCATGATGGGAAAGTCAGGACAGCCAGGTTCAAATTCTGAGTCCTCAATTTCCTGTGTGACTTTGGGCAAATTGCTTTCCCTCTCTGGGCCTCAGTTTCCTCATCTGTAAAGTGAAAGTGTTGGACTAGATGACCGCTAAAGTCCCTTCCAGTTAGGATCCCTTGATTCTAACTCATGTCCCCTCTGTGTGCCTCAGTTTCCCTATCTGAAAAATGAGAGGGTTGGAGTAGATGGTCTCAGAGGTTCCTTTGTGCTCTGAATCTATGATTCTATGGTCCTATGAATGTGATGCAGCCTCTCTTCTCTCTCTCTCTCCCTCCCTTTCTCTCTCCTGCTTCGCCTTTCTCTCTCTCTCTGTATCTGTCTCTCTTCCCCACTCTCCTCCCCTCCCCATGCGGGACCAGACTCAGACGCAGCTGGAGCATGCTCGAATTGGAGAGCTAGAGCAGAGCCTGCTGTTTGAGAAGGCACAGGCAGAAAAGCTGCTCAGAGAGTTAGAGGACAATCGGGTAAAGACCCCCTCCCCCACCCCCTCAGCCCTGCCCTCCCCCCACACACCCTGCCTGCCAAACAGCTTCTCTGCTGAGCTGCCCCGAGCGGTGGCGGGCTCCTCTGGCTTCTGTTCCCTCTTCTTCCCTTGGCCCCCACCCCTTCCCACCACCACCCTCCCGTATTTTGCCTTCTGTGATCTCTTAATTATTGCTTTTTTTTTCAATCCCTTTTGGAAACAGTAGAGAAATGCAGCAGGTCAAGCCCATGGCTAAGGTTTTGTACCTTTGGGTGCTGGTACTGATTTGTTTCTCTAATTTCAGTTTGTTTCTCAGCTCGTCATTCCATCTTACCAGATATCTCCTGGGCCTCAGTTTCCTTCTCTGTAAAATGAAGGGAGTTGGACTGAATGACCACTGAGTCCCCTGTCCATATTTAGGATCATATGATCCTAAGTCACTAAACATCTCTGGGCCTCAGTTTCCTCTTTAGAATAAGGTGGCCTCCAAGGTCCTTTCTACTCTAGAGCTCGGATCTCATGACCCCGTGGTCATGCTTTCTGGAGATGACCAGCAGGCCTCTATTTCCCCCTTCTCTCCCTTTTACCATCCATACTTATTCACAAATTCATTTTGCCTCCAAATATCACTTCCTGTTCCCAATTCAAGTCTTCAGCTTGGAGCGGGCTCCATCAGTCTCCCTCCCATTTCGGGTTTAGAAAAGAGAAGAATTGGGAGCGTTAATGGGGTAGTTGGATAAGGGACTGACCCAAAAGCCTCACTGAGAGAAAGAAGAAAGACAGAGATTCCTCTTTGAAATTCTCAGTTGTCCTCCAACAAGATGGCGGGCCCAGGATCTGAGGGAGTGGTGGGAAGAAGGGCCTTGAGGACAAGGGGAGGGAGGGCAGCTGTCTGGGACTGGGCATCACTTGTTATTAAAGGATGGGAAAGGTCCTCAGAGGAGGTGGGGATGAAACCTTATGTCTGGTAAAACTTGGGGGAAGACCGCCACCAGTCCCTCAAAGTCTCCTAACTTTCATCTAGAGCCCAATGAGATGATCCATGCGTAGGGGGTGATGTCTAGGGGCCAGGACCAGTGAAATCCACCAAGACTGAGCATCACATTTTGGTCCTGGGGGATAAAAGTCTAACCCTGAATATGTCACAATTTATAAGATGGCCTATTCTGGGTCCCTTCCCGCTAACCATCCGCCATCAAGATCAGGTCCCTAACAAACTTCCCTCCAAAAGCCATCCCAAAGCCCTAGCTGAATCTTCCTAGTTTGGTCAGTGGCCTCAGAGTCCCTCACCTTTGTAGCAGAGCTGGGGCTAAGGGGAGGCTTGGAGGGAAACTGCTACCAGGATATTCTTCTTGCCTTCTGGGAGAGCTGGAACTAAGGGGAGACAGTGAGGGAAACCGCCTAGGGTGCAGCACCTGAGGAGGGCTAGGGCAGGGGTGCAGCAGAGGATGCTTTGGAATGTTACATCTTATAAAAACCCATATCTTTAATGCCAGATAATTCTACTCTCCATGTCAAGCAGGTATTTTGTGATAGCTAATTCAAGTCTCATGTGTTACAGTGAAGGTTCCATGTTTCCCCAAGTAGGCAATATCTCACAGCACAAACAGTTTTTCAAAGTGTTAGGTTGAAGAGGCAAGTAATTTCCAAAACTTGCCTGAAGTATGTCAATACCTGACCCCCTAATCCTGCCTTCCAGCATTCATCCACCATCCATCCCCTGCCATATTTTATTTGTGTTGCTAATAACTGTTAACTTGTCAATCCCTGTTGGCAAGCCTCCCTCCATTTACCCCAGGGTAGCAAGGCACTTCCCAAGAGTGATGGACGGTGCTTGGGACTAACTAGGAATACTGATTGATCAGAACAGCGAGGTTTCACCTTTCTACCAACTGCTGTCATCATTGTTTCCATGGCTGCTGCTTGAGGATAAGAGAAATGTTGTTGATTGGGAAAACACAAATTTAAAAAGTGCATGAATATATTTATAGACAAGGAGACCCCTTGTCTGGGAGGAATGCCAATTTCTCCTTGTAGCCTTAGCATATGTGCGCACTAATATATTCTGCTACAGTTGCATATTATTTATGTTACCTCGCCTAGTTATGCCTCAGTTTCCTCTTATGTAAAATAAAGAGGCTGGAATAGACGCACTCAGTGATCACTTCTAGTTCTAAATCTATGATCCTATAATATGTATGCACAGACACAGAAATGTAGACACATTTATTTGAGTTAAAGCAGGGGCAGGAAATGGCCCCTTTGCAGATTGACTGGCTGACTTTGGCCCATTTGCAGATTGGCATGTTGCAGTTCCCTGAATACAGAGAAAGATTTTTATTTAGGAATTTTAAAAAGCACCCACCCCCAAGTGAACTTAATTTTTAAAGCACCAAAAAGAGGGGGGGAGATATTTTGGAATTGGAAAACAGGGAGTTAAATAACAAACCCATTGGGTGGTTTTTTTTTAAGCTTAATGATAAAGAATTTGAAGAAATCATTTTAGTGTTTTTTTTTTCTTTTCAAGATGAGGATAAAAAAGTTTGTTGTTTCTAGCCTCATCCAATAAAAGTGGGTCACAAGTGAATTGCACTGTATTTAAAGTCAAGCATTTCTCTGAATGTGGGCTGGTCCGTTTGCATGCTGGCCTCTTTCTGTACTTGGACAAAGGTCATCTACCAAGTGAGGCAAAAGTCACTCTCTTTAGCCTTTAAGTGACACAGAGAAAGTCTCAAGAGGAGATGAGCAGCTAACTCTAGATACAAGCAGACCGAGCCTGTGCCACTGCCCAATTCTCTTAGCGAACCTTTTGTCCCCCTCACTGCACTCATTATGAAAATCGGCTGACTTTGCAAAGTCTCTGGCAGCTGATACCCTGGGGTAAAACTGGAAGTCAGGAGGAACCAGTTTTATTGACTAATACGCTTACAAATCTGCCTCTCTCAGCACAGAGACCCCTGCCCACCCGCCCTGGTGTTCCTCCTTTCCCCAGTCTGCAGGGAAGGTCCCAGCTGACCAGATATTCTTTCTGGCTTCCAGATGACAACAGTGGCAGAGAAGTCGAGAATCCTGCAGCTGGAGGAGGAGCTGAGCCTTCGGCGTGGGGAGATCGAGGAGCTTCAGCAGTGCCTACGGCAGGCGGGCCCTGCAGACCCCTCGGACACCAGTCCATCCTCCGAGGCCCTGCGGCTCCGGGAGCAGCTGCTGTCCGCCAGCAAGGAGCACCAGAAGGAGAGCGGGCTGCTCAAAGACAAGTACGAGAAGGCCCTGAAGGCCTACCAGCTCGAGGTGGAGAGGCTGAAGGCCACCAACGAGAAGTACGCTCAGGAGATCATGGACCTGAAGCTCAAAGTCCAGCAGGCCACCAGCGAGAACATGGGACTGATGGACAACTGGAAATCCAAGCTGGACACACTGGCTTCCGACCACCAGAAGTCACTGGAGGACCTGAAGGCCACCCTCAACTCGGGCCCCAACACCCAGCACAAGGAGATCGTGGAGCTGAAGGCCGTGATGGAGAGCATCAAGCTGGAACACCAGCTGGAGCTGGGCAACCTACGTGCCAAGCACGACATTGAGACTGCCGTCCTGGCCAAGGAGAGGGAGAGCCTCGTGGGGAAACTGGAGCAGGCCCGCGGTGAGCTGGAGGAGGTACGCCTTCACTGGAAGGCGCAGCTGGAAGCCAGGTCCAACCAGCACCTGCTGGAGCTGCAGGAGGCCAAGGACCAGTGCAGGGACGCTGAGCTGCGCGCCCAAGAGCTGGGCAAGCTGGACGGCGAGTGCAAGGAGCAGGCCCAGGCCATCGATTTCCTGAAGGAGCAGATCTCCCTGGCGGAGAAAAAGATGTTGGACTATGAGGCGTTGCAGAGGACGGAGGCCCAGAGCAAACAGGAAATCCAAAGGTTACAGGAAAGACTCTTGGTGACAGAGAATAAACTACAGACCATGGAATCCCTCTGCTCTTCTCAGCACTCTGATGTAGGCTCAGTTGCTGGTCTTGTGCTCTTGCTTTCTTTCTCTGGCAGGCTGGCTTGGGTGGTGGGTTTGGCAAGAAGGGTGAAAGGCGGGGAATAGGGGAGAGAGACCAGATCTGGAATTTCTTTGGTACATGAAGTCCCAGGTGAGGGGACTCCCTCCACGAATGCAAATTGGCCCCTTCTCTGCCACTTAAAATTTTAAACAGTTTCCTAGAGCACCAGGAGATTAGGTGACTTGCTCAGGGTCATACAACTAGGATGTGTCAGAGGTAAGTCTTGGGCCGAAGTCTTCCAAGGGTAGCTTCCAAGGGTGGCTTCTAAGGATGGCTCTCAGTTTCCTACACCAGTGATTTTAAACTCAAATAGACCATACATAAGGATCCCTGTGGACCTCATCTTGACTTAGTTTTAAAATGTAACATTGTCTAGATTGTATTTTGATTTATTTTGTTAAATATTTCCCAATTACATCTCAAACTGGTTCTGGCAACACATGGGAATGTTGTGGGCCAAGTGTGACCTATGGACTGTGTATTTGACACCTTTGAGCTGTATCATACAAACTCCCATGCACCAGCAACAGCTCTTATAATTGTGGGGGAAGTTAGTCGGTGTCAGCAAAAGCCTCCAGTTTTTCAGAGGCCTCTGTCTTCTCTGGAATGGCACAATGTATCTGGGGTCAGAGGTGCCTGTGTGTGATCATGGGTAAGTCCTTTTCCTCTCTGGGCCTGAGAGAGAAGAGAAATACACTTTCATTCTATTCCCCTAGGTCTCTGTGGGCTTACCCATTGGATCTGGTTCCTCTGCTTCCCTATGTCTTCTGAGGAGGGAACAGGGGAAGGTGATGAATGCTTCTGTAGTTGTTTGTATGATCCTGGATTTAGTGCTAGGAGAGACCTCAGTATGACTAATTGAGTCCAAACTTCCCATTTTACAGAGAAGGACACTGAGGCCAGTAGAATGAGAAGTTTGGATGAAATGACCTCTAAGGAGCCTTCTGGCTCTAGAGATATAATCCTGTCAGCCTCTATTTCTCATCCAACCCTCTCATTTTACAGAGCAGGAAACTGAGACCCAGCTGTGCCACCTCTCTAAGGTCCCTCTCAATTCCAGAATTCCCTGATTTTCTTCAGTCAGGGAAGTGTGCTGCCGCTTGCCGTGATGCTGTGGAAAGACCTCTTGATTTGTATTCATGGATCCTGGGTTCAAATCCCAACTTTACCCCTGACTGCCTTTGTGACCTTGGGAAAATCACTTAACCTCTTCGGGCCTCAATTTCCCCTTCTGAAAAATTAGAGGGTTGGACTAGATGACCTTTAAGGTCCCTTCTAGCTCCAAGTCTAGTATTCTGGAGATAACCAGAAAATCATTTTTTTCAGTTTTCCTCAATTCCTTTCCTCTTTTCCCTCCCCAGCAGAAAGGAGGAGACAAATGAGTCAAACTCACTAGGTAAACCCACTCAGATTTCATAGAATAGGATGAAAAATGGTTCCCTTCTCTCCACCTTTCCCCAAAGCTCCCTCTGGTGTCTGTCCTGCATCTAGCTGTCCTTCCAATCCTGGGGAACTTGCTGATGTAATAGCATCGGTTTCTGTGGGTTCTGAGAGTTGAATGACAACTTCACTTGTATGAGTCCTCTTAAAAGGCTGAAAGAAGACCCCAAAGGTCTCATTTTGAACTCTGATGCAATAGCAAAAGCAGGGAACTGAGGACCAGCAGCTGAAGGGTCTTCTGAATGTTCCTGGTAGCCCTTCCTGGACCCAGAACTGTGGACACTCTCTCCATGGTGCTGAAAATGAGAGTTTGCTGAGAAATCCTGTAGGGACTCACGTCTATCCTACCCAAATATCTGACTCCCCCCTTTTCATTATGGGAAATGTCTCCCAATGAAGTTTATGGTTCCTCCCAGAAGTGAAAATTATACACATACCCCATAGGAGCCTGCCAGGGGAAAAAAGAGATAGGCCCTGGAGTCACGAGTAATTTTGAGGATTGGGAAGGAGACAATTGCTGTATTGATACCCTCCTACATATACATTGTTGTTCAGTTGTTCAGTTGTGACTGACTCTTTGTGACCCCTTTTTGGGGGGTTCTTAGCAAAGTGGTTTGCCATTTCCTTGTCCAATGGATTAGGCAGAGGGTAAGGGACTTGCCCAGGGTCACACAGCTAGTACATGTCTTAGGTTGGATTTGAACTCAGGTCTTAACCCCAGGCCCAGAGCTCTTTCCATTGAGCCACCTAGCTGCCTCCAAGACAAACAGAGGTTAAGTGACTTGCCCAGGGTCACACAGATTGTAAATATCTGAGGCCAGATCTTCCTGACTCCAGGCCCAACACTATCCATCGAACCATCTAGCTGCTTCTGTACACATTACCACCACCTAATACAACAGAACCATGGAATATCAGAGCTAGAAATTGCTTTTGACATCATCCGATAATGCCCTCATTTTACAGAGGCCCTCAAAAAGTGACTTCTCTAAGGTCACATAGCTTGTTAGCTGGGCATGAGAATGAAGGTCTTTGTATCCCAATCCTGGATTCCTTCTGTTATAGCATGCTTCCTCATTTAACAAATGATGAAGTGGAGACTCTCCTAAAATCATTCTCTTTGGGGACAGAGGCATACAGTTCTGGAGTTGAAAAGTCTGAAGAAGAGTGGCATTCCCCTCCCTGGTGGCTGGTTGGAATTCCACTTGGGAACTAGGAGGGCAACTTTGGGGAGCTCTGAAGTTATCGTGGCCACCTTGGGAAGTCTGGGAAGGAACATGCCCCCCCATCCCCTTCTAGGCACAGATGTGAGCCCCAGGGAGCCAACCCCAGGATGAACACTGTTGACCAACATCCCAACTTGTTTTCCAAATCCATCAGGCCCAGAGTATGTTCAATCTCAACACCCACTACAGTGAGTGAGCTTGGGGTCTGATAAGTAGACTGTTTGAAGGGGAGGGGGTTGTTCTTCTTCTCCCTGTCCTCCACCCCCAACCTGAAGATGATCTAGTAGGAAGGACACTGGAGATCAGGAGTCAGAAGAGCTCAATTCTACTATGAGCGCTGGCCCTCACTCACTGTGTGACCTTGGACGAGTCCCCTCCCGCCTTTGCATCTCAATGGAGGGGTGGAACGAAAAGATAATTTCTGAGGCCCTATTGCATTCATATACTTTATAAATACATAAGGAACATCCTATTTTGAGAATACTATCGGTGTAGTTTTATTGCATATGTATGTATAACTTATATATACACTTACATTTGAAAGACTTGTAATTTCATCATTGTACAGAATTAGATGAGCAGATAATCTGAGTTCTGTTCCATTCCTGTATACTTGATAAATATAAGGAATGCCTTACCTTAAGAATAATATCTGCAGTTGCAGATTATGTGTATTATATACACACATATAATTTATATACATATCCATGTATATGTGTATGTATGTATGTATATACATATACTTACACATACATGTACACATACATTGTAATTGTAATTCCATCAGGGCAGGGAGTTCACAGTAAAGAGCTCCTACCAGTGCAAACCGCATGTCTGGGGGCACAGAGAAGTCAGGGATTTGTTCAGGTCCCACAGCTCATGTGTGGTGGGTCTTCCTGATTCGGAGGTCAGCCCTCTTTCCATTATGTCTTGTGCATGGTCTAGTGGATTGAGGGCCAGCCCTAGAAGGCTGAGGTCAAGTTCCAAGCCCGAGGCTGTTTGTCCCTGGGCAAGACACTTAACTTCTTGGTGTCCTCATGAGACTCACTAAATCACCACAGTTGCTCGTCATCATTGGTGGAGAGAATTTCCTTATCAAGAGTTCTTCACATCCCTGAAATCACTGGGCCTCTTCCCCTAAATACACACACAGTGGGAGAGAGAGACAGACTCATCCCTTCCCCATTCTCCCCTTCCCTCTCTAAGACAGTTTAAGAGGTGATTATCCATATTACAGCCGCTAGGTGGCACCATAGTACATAGAGTACTGAGCCTGGGGGCAAGAAGACTCATCTTCCTAAATTCAAACCCAGCCTCAGGCTCTTTCCAGCTGTGTGACCCTGGGCAAGTCACTTAACCCTGCTTGCCTCAGTTACTTCATCTGTCAAATTAGCTGGAGAAGGAAATGGCAAACCACTCCAGTATCTTTGCCAAGAAAACCCCAAATAGGGGGTTAGAGATATAGGACTTAGACAAGACTGAAAAACAACTGAACAACTACAACCCATGTTGCATAAGGATTTGCTTTGGGCTTCCACTCAGCACGTTTCAAATAGGATTTGATTGATACATACTTTTGTTAACATCTAACTCTCAAATAACGTGTCTATTACACACAGGGAGCTCCTCTTATAATGTTCCTTTTGATGTCCACAAATATGTCTTAAGTGCTTTTATAGAGCAAATAGAATCTTTCCCCAGAATACCAAAGGGGGCAAGCAAAACCAACCCCAAAGAGGTGTTTCTGTGTGGACAAAGAGGCTACATCCTGGGCTGTGATAAGACAGACACTTTAATTTTTTCTCTGAGTTTTAGATTTTCCCAAGTAAGACTTAGAGAGAATTTAGTTCTGTTGGAAGCCATCTGCTGAAGTTACATGCAGAGGACTAAAGGGAGAGTTCAGACAATAACCTGGGAGACAGGATCTGCCCTATGGCCCCTTCCTCAGTGGGATTCAATGGCAGGTGCCTGAGCTCCTGGGCACTTCTCCCTCAGGGGAGCCTTGTAAAATGAGAGGAGAATGTGCATCCCATAAAACTGTTGGCCCCCAGCAGGCTCTCCCTCAGACAAATGTGATTCATTCATAATTCATCAGAGAGCTCCATCACCACCCTTCTCCTGGTCCACAGAGCCTCGTCCCCACTTGCTTACATTGAGAATCCCTCTGGTATTCTGTGATGAGTGATTGGCTTTCCTTTAGCCTGGCAGGAAGATTAACCCAAGTACTCAGCCTTGTTTTTAATAATATCCTACAATTCTTTCCAGATTCAAGGGGTTCAGTCCAGAGGGAAAGTAGATTTCTAGGTCTCACAAGGTATGGTTTTGGGAAAGGTTATATCTATTTTTTAATCTTAGGAAATTTTAATCTGTTGACCTGGTTTAATAATCCATATGTGTGTGTGTGTGTGTATGTGTGTGTGTGTGTGTGTGCATACCTTGGGTGGGAGAGGGAAGATCTAGGTGTTTTCATTGGCCACAGGTTCGATATGAGTCAACAAGGTGACAGAGAGTCAGGAAAGCAGCTGAGATCTTGAACCATGATAATGGAATCCTGGTGTCCAAAATAAGGGAAATGGTGGTCGTGTTGTCCTCTGCCCAGATCAGGCCACCTCTGTGGCAGTATGCTCAGCCCTGGGCATCACATTTTAAGGCTGTTGGAGAGGCGATAGGAGAGGCAGCACAATGTGACAGAAAGCTGGTCTTGAAGTCAGGAAGAGCTGGGTTCAGGTCTCAGCTCTGACACATACTGCCTGTGTGAACCTGGATGAGTCACAAGTTTCCAGCGCCCTGGACATCTCTCTCAGCATAGAAATTGTGTAACAGTTGCTGACCTGCATTGGAGAGAGCGTTTCCTCATGGAAGATTCCTTAGACCAATGAAATCACAGGTTTGGGTCAAAGAAAAAGTAGAGAAATGAGCACATTGAAAGGAGGGTGACCGGGGGGGCTGAAAGGTCTGGAAACCATATCCTGTGAAGTCCAGCATCCTAACTTGGGATCAGAGGCTCAGCCTTCAAGCCCTCCCATGGAGGGTGTGTCCAAAGAGATGTTCTTACTTCAGGATGGTCCAAGGTGAGGCTAATCAGGTGGTTCAATTTTTCAGGCTTTAAGGATCCCCCAATAAACTGGGGTTTAGTGGGTCATAGAACACATCCCCTCACTAAGACCATTTCTTTCAGGTGATCGAGACAAATGACATTTCAGAAGAGAAGATCAGAATGAAACAGACGATGGAGGGTAAGGGGGTGTCTGTGGTCTCCCCACCTCCTGGTACTCGCCTTGGGTTGGATGCTGGGGTTTGGATCCTGAGGAGTGATTATTCTTGGGAGGCATTCTTATAGGCCATTTCTTACAGATAAAACATCTTTCTCCCACCTGTTTAGTGAAATCCTAAAACATAGCAATGATTCATGGGATTTTCTCTGCAACTATAGTCTTAGAGTTGGTCAGGGTCATGTAGCCCACATGTCAGAAGTAGACTGAGTGCCTAGGTCTCTGTGGCTCTGAGGCTGACTCTCTAACCATTACACAGTACTGTCTCTCATGTAATTACAAATAATCATATGAAAAGGTGTTCCTCATTGTGCTCTGGCAGCTGCCCTGTCTTGCCCACCCCAGTCCTGGCTCTAAGAGGATGAGGGGATTGGGAAGGTCCACTGTCAGGGGAGGGGAGTCAAGTGTAAGAAGACTGGAAAGGTAGGAAGGGGAAAGGTAGTAAGAGATTTAGCTGATCAACAGAGGACGCCATCTTTGATCCTGAATGTAATAGCGAGCCACTGAAGTGAGTGGAGGAGGGAGGTGATATGGTTAGGTCTGTACTTTGGCAGCTGAGAAGAAGATGGGTGGCATGAGAAGAGACCTGACATAGAGACCAGTTCAGAGGCTATTTCAGTAGTCCAGTAAGTCAATGAAGGCATGAACTAGGCTAGTGGCTGTGTGAGTCAAGTGGAAAAGACAGGTGTTGTGAAGGTAGAAAGACAGCCCTTGGCAATGGAGTGGGTGTATGCGGGGAATGAGAATGAAGAGCTGAGGATGGCGAGTTGAGAGGTCCTGAAGTTGGTTGGGAAGATGGCGGTTTCCTCAATAGTAAGAGAGACGTTCAAAAGAGGGGGAAGGGTCTTGAGGGAAAGATGACTTGGAGTGTTGAGTGGCCTGCATGACATCTCTCATTGGAGATCTCCAACAGGTAGTTGGTGATGTGAGACTATCGCTCAGGAAATAGACTATGGCTGAACATATCAATCTGGGAATCATCTGTGGAGAGATGATCATTGAACCCAAAGGGAGGTGATTTGATGAAGTGACATAATATGGAGCAAAAAAAGCCTGGGACAGAGCATCAGAGGATACCCATAATAACATGGAAGAAGAACCAGCACAGGAAACTGAGATGAAGCAGTCAGATGAATAAGAGGAGAATCAGAAGAGCGTAATGTCATGAAAACTTAGAAAGGAGAGTATCTAAGAGGAGAAGGTGGCCAACAGGGCCAAATGCTGCAGAGAGGTCACGAAGGATGGGGACTGAGAAAAGGCCATTTGATTGGCCAATGAGCAGATGACTGATGACCTTGGAGAGAGCAGTTTCATTTAGTGCTCTGTCCCATTTGGTGATGGCCCATAGTGAGTGCTTTATAAGCATTTATTGATTGATTATTCCACCACTTTCCTTAATGATGTGGAATCAATTCAAGAAACATCTATTAAGCATTTACCACGATGTGTCAGTCTCCACAAAGTCCCAGAAACAGGAAAAAGAAAACATAAGAAGAGGAATGGTGAATAGTTCAGGGTGGTTAGAATGAGGGCATCTTGTCACATGAGGGCACTGGATGAGATGACCTCTAAGGTCCATTCCAGATCTATATCTAAATCACTGTGTGAAAGAGAGGAGCAGCCACTTGGTTGAACCAGATTATGAGGAGCTTTGAATGCCAGGATGAAAATCTCTACTTTATTATTCATTCGGCAATGGGAGGGGCTACTGCTGGATTCTTGATAGGAGAGTAACCCAACCACAACAGCATGTTAGGAAGTCTTTCACAAGTCTTGGACCTTTGGTTCATGTTTTTGGGCCTCCAACAAACTATTGGGGACCATTAGGTCATGGAGCATTTGCCATGACAGTTCCCCTGAACCATTTTTCTTCTCCCCAAAGACTTACAGGACAAGCTGAGTAAGAGAGACAAAGAGGTGGCGTCCTTGGTATCACAGGCTGAGATGCTCAAGGCCCAAGTAAGTGGTAAGTTTCCCTATGGCACTAGGTGGCCAATTGCATGTTGGAACTAGCCATGAATGCCCTTCTCCCACCTTGTCCCAATGAATCTCTCCCTCCCCACCCACCACAACCATCCAACAGAGTGCCTGAAATCCTACCATTAAAGCTTCATTCCTTTGGATCTTAAGCACATTAAAGTATCCAAGATTCTTCTGAAGTGCTGAGGACCACATGTTTAGAACTGGGCAGGGCAAAGCAAGCCCCTCTAGGGATGGGAAACTGACCAAGGGCCTTGGGCAAACCAGAGGATAGGATGATACAAAGATCAGGTGATACCCAGAGGTTGGTCTCCCTGGCTGTCAGTGATGCCCAATCTATTGGGTCAGCTTCCCAAGGAATATGTCATCTTCACCCATCCTGCCCATCCCAGTCTGGTGACATCAGGTTCAGGTACAGGTGGGCTTGACACAGAAAGTACCAAGCCAGAGTGGATGCTGCCTAGGCTGGCAGACAGGTTTCTGTCTCCTGAGGACAGGAGATGAGAGATTCTTGGAGCCTACAAGACCATTGCCTTGGCATATGTCCATCACCATTCCAAAGGCCAGCTGCCTTTTTCTCATTTCCCAGAGATAGATGCCACATACTTAATACATGTGTGACCTTGGGCAAGTCACTAACTAGCTTTCTTCTTGATAGAATGGGGATAATAGACTCTGAGAAGAATGCCCATAATGCCCTCCCATCCTCAAGTTTTCCCAAACATGAGGGGCCCATTGACCTAAGAGTGTGATAGTACAGCCTGAAGATATAAGCAGGTTCCAACAGAGGGTTATGGTAGATTTGTGTCCTTTTAGGACAGGTTACAGTAACCTTGTGTCTAGAGGTCACTTTTTGGACAAGCCCAGCTCTCCTCAACTAACATAGCTAAGACCATGGAGGAAAGAAAAGGCCTCTGAGAAGCCAAAAAGATGCCCCAACAACCATTTCCTAACACTTATGTACCTTACTCATTGACTCTTTTTGGGGGGGGGAGGTTAGCCAATGGGGTTAAGTGACTTGCCCAGGGTCTCACAGCTAGTAAGTATCAAGTGTCTGGTCTGAGACCGGTTTTGAACTCAGGTCCTCCTGACTCCAGGGCCAGTGCTCTATCCACTGTGCCACCTAGCTGCCCCCTACTCATTGACTCTTTTTCAGAGCCTAATGACTCTGGTTTACAAAGGATTCTAATGAGCTTGATGATCAATCTTTCCAGCCTACAGCAGATTAGAAACGGCAAATTAGAGGGAGGGTGGTACATGGATGGCAGCAAGACGTGACAACGGACAAAGGCCAGAAAAGTGAGTGTGGTAGCTTTGGAGTTGGGGGAACTGGGTTCAAATCTCACCTCTGATGATTCCTCCCTGAACCCTTGTGGCACAATACACATCACCTCCCTAGTCCTCAGTTTCCACATTTATAAAATGAGAGGATTGGACTAGATGGCCTCTGTCCCTTCCAAATCTATAAACCTGTGATCCGAATGGAAAAACAATGAAAAAGAAGACACCACAATTAAAAAAATCATTGCAGGTTGGGACCATTTAGTGAAGAAGCAAACCTGGCACCTTTAGTAGGGCATCACTGGATTACGAACCTATGTGATATATTGGAAACAGTGCCGGACTGAACGTGAGGAGACACCTGGGTGCGAGTCCGAGATCTCACTCCCACTAGTGACTTTGGGCAAGTCACTTCCCGTCTCTGAGACTCAGTTTCCTCATCTATAAAACAGGGATGATGGTGGCGGCACTGCCTGCTTCGTAGGGTTGTTGTAGGAAAATGTTTTGTAGCCCTTACAGAGCAACAGAAATGGGCTTTGCTACTGCAGTGACTGATATTAGTAACAAGGACCTAGAGCAGGGAAATTATATCAAATAAACTGTTTTAAGAAGGCAGGAGATTTCTTCAGCTTCAGAGAACTGAAGTGGCAATAGTCCTACTTAGCCAAGGGCCTATAGCGCCTGCCAGATTGGCGTTGACCATCCCCCAGCCAAACAAGAGTGCTCAGTGCCCTTCCCTGTCTTCCTGTGTCCAGTCACCTGCCTAAGAAGCACCAGCATCCCCCTGCTGACCCACCCTCAGGGTTTAGTCACATGGCCCCAAAGAAGGAAGGGCTGATGTTCAAGAGGCCAAAGAATAGATTTGGTATCGGTCCCACCACCAGACAGATAAGTACATAGGTAGGTAGGTAGGTAGGTAAAACATTTATTGTTTACTATGACCCAGGAACTGTGCTAAGCTTTGGGGTTCAGATGCAAAGAAAGAAAGACAGTCTTAGCCTTGAAGGAGCTTCTATTCCAATGGAAGAAAACAACCCATAAAAGAGAACTGGAAAATGGGGGTGGGGCGGGGTTGGAGGGAGGAGGTGGCCCACAAGGAGGTGGAGAAGTCTGGGGAGTGAGAGTCACACCAAGTGAGGATGGCCCAGCCCCCCAGGAAATGGTACCATCTGCTCTCTTTTAAACCTTTGGCATATGAACCAGGGCTGTATTTCTTGGCTATCATAACCCTGTCTGGCATTTCTGATCCACAGCCCTGGAAGGCAAGTGTAAATCAGGAGACAAGAAGGCAGATGCCCTCCTGAAGGAGAAGAAGCGGCTAGAAGCTGAGCTCGAGGCTGTGTCCCGGAAGACCCATGATGCCTCTGGGCAGCTGGTGCTCATTAGCCAGGAGCTGCTGAAAAAAGAGCGGTGAGTGGGCTTGGCCAGAGGCCCCCAGCTGCCCCTTGAATACCCTCCCATGTCACTGGCATCATGCCAGGGGTATGCTCCACCAGAGCTTTCTGCTAAGCCGTGAGCTAAGAGAAGTGGGCACAGAGGAGAGGAAAGGTACCCACCCTGCCCTAGGGAAGCATACCATCTCCCAGTGAGGCTAAACAGTCTGGTGGAAAGAGCCCAGGTTCTCTGATTCCAAATCCAAGGAGAGAAGAAGAGAGGGAGGAAGAAGGAAGGAAGGAAGGAAGGGAAGAAAGAAGGAAGGAAGGAAGGGAAGAAAGAAGGAAGGAAGGGAAGAAGGAAGGAAGGAAGGAAAGAAGAAAGGAAGGAAGGAAGGGAAGAAGGAAGGAAGGAAGGGAAAAAGGAAGGAAGGAAGGGAAGAAGGAAGGAAGGAAGGGAAGAAAGAAGGAAGGGAAGAAGGAAGGAAGGAAGGAAGGAAGGGAAGAAGGAAGGAAGGAAGTGAAGAAAGAAGGAAGGAAGGGAAGAAGGGAAGAAGGAAGGAAGGAAAGAAGAAAGAAGGAAGGAAGGGAAGAAGGAAGGAAGGAAGGAAGGGAAGAAGGAAGGAAGGAAGGAAGGAAAGAAGAAAGGAAGGAAGAGAAGAAGGAAGGAAGGAAGGGAAGAAGGAAGGAAGGAAAGAAGGAAGGAAGGGAAGAAGGAAGGAAGGAAGGAAGGAAGGGAAGAAGGAAGGAAGGAAGGAAGGAAAGAAGGAAGGAAGGGAAGAATGAAGGAAGGAAGGGAAGAAAGAAGGAAGGAAGGAAAGAAGGGAAGAAGGAAGGAAGGAAGGAAGGGTGGAAGGGAGAGAGGGAGGGAGGAAGAGAGAGAGGAGAGGAAGGAAGAGAGAAAAGACAGGAAAAGGGCAGGAAGGGAGTGAGGGAGGGAGAGCCTGGTGCTCCGTCCGCTTCCCCTCCTAGCTAACACAGGATCATAGATTTAGAGCTTGAAGAGACACTGGAGGCCATCTGGTCCAACCCCATTATTTTACACAAGAGTGACCTGAGGTCCACGGAGGTGACTTGTTCAAGGTCATGAAACAGTAGACGTTTAGAGGCTCATAGATTTAAAGCTGGAAGGAACCCAAGAGTCCACCCCCTCACTTTACAGATGAGGAAACTGAGGCCCAAGGATGTAAGTGACTTGCCCAAAGTCATATATGTAGCAGGTATCAGAGGCAGGATTTGAACCCTCATCCTCTGACTCTAGACCCAGTTTTCTTTCCATGATATCAAGCTGCCCTGAGCTTCACTTTCCTTTTCTGCAAAATGGGAATAACAAACAATCCTTGCCCTCTGTGCTTTCCAGGGCGGCCATGAGGCTGAGATGAGCCCCCTCGGGTGCTGTCATCACTGTTGTCAGCCTGCTACACCCATTGCCTTCCGGGCTGCTCCAGGAAGCCCATTTGAAAGAGGATCAATCCCTCTGTCCAGTGTATTGACAGCTTTCTTTTCCCAGTCTTTGTCCTTGGTCTCAGGCACCCTCTAGTGGAGCTTGGAAGCTCATCCTGTTAGCTCACAGAGTTCCACAGTAATACAGGGGAGACTTTCCAACATGACACACTCACTTGCAGAGGGCTGTCCTCTACCCTTGCAACCTTTTCTTTTTTTTTGTAAGTAGATCCTCTTCTCCTTTTGTAAAAGGTTTATTTTTGCCTTTTATTTTTACATCACAGTCTTTTTCCAGGGAATTTTCCCTTGTCACAACAACAAAAACACCATTAGAAGCAAAATAAAGAAAATATAGACAGACAGGTATGCAGTATTCCACACCCATAGTCCCCCACCTCTCCAACAAAAGGAAGATTGTCCATTTTCTTTGGGTCCACGTATAACCGCCCAGCAGACAGCCTGTGGTCCTTTCTTTTCACACAGCTGCAATCAGTATATATGTTTTCCCTTGTCCTTTTTATCAGTTCAGATAAACCTCCCCATGGTTCTCATCTTAGAAACTCTTCCAGACACAGTTCGAATTCCTCCTTGTCCAAGAAGCTTTCCCTGACTACACCCCAGCCGATAGTAATCTTTTTCTTCCTTGGAGCTCCTCTCTTTCAAAAATATGAGAGTCAAATGAGATAATATGTAGAAAGGATCTCAGAAACCTAAAAACATTATGTGAATGTCAGCTGTGAGGATGAGGGTGAGGAATATAGTAAACCTTTAATCATTTCCCCCTGCCAGAAATATCTTTCCCATTTCCTTTTACTCATCGTTCAAAGCTCAGCTCCTATCTCACCTCTTCTGAGAAGCTTTCTGTGACTTCCCAGCCCATCATGATTTCTCCAGTAATGGTTAGAAAGCTAGACTTGGAGTCAGGAAGACCTGAGTTCAAATCCACAATCAGACACTTACTAGCTGTGTGATCCTGGGCAAGTTTTTTCACCTCAATGATTCTGTTTCCTCATTTGTGAAAATGATGAGAGTTTGGACTCTGGGCAAATCAGCTCCTTGGCCCTGAGATGCTTTCTCTGTAAAATGGGAGGGGGCTGTATTCAATGGCCTCTGAGGCCCCTCACGATCTCACAATCCTCTGGCCTCCTACAGCCCTGACTGTCTTCTTTCCTCTCTGACCCTTAGCTAGGCCTTCCCTAGGACATCTCTTGCCTTGTTTTTTGTTTTTATTTTGGCAAGGCATTCGGGGTTAAGTTACTTGCTCAAGGTCACACCACTAGTGAGTGTTGAGTGTCTGAGGCCAGATTTGAACTCAAGCCTTCCTGACTCCAGGGCTGGTGCTCTACCCAATGTACCACCTAGCTGCCCCTTGCCTTGTTTTTTAATTATCTTGTATGGGTAGGTCTTCTCTTCCCAGATGAATCACCCATTCCTGACAAGCAGGGACTATAGCTCGTCCTCCTTCTCTCAGGGCTGGGAATCCACTCGATTCTCAGGAAATCATTTTTGAATGAATGAGTACAGCCTGGACTCCAAGGGGCCAGGGACATTGGGGAGCCTGCTGCAGCTGGGGGGCAGGGACGTG